CATACACGGAGGCTTTGAGGCCACCCTGGACTATGATAAGATATGATAATAAGAGAATGAAAAGGTGGCCTACGAGAGAGGACGCAGAGGGGACCCGTTGCCTCTCCCCATCTCAAGGTTCAGGGACCTGTCCCTTGCCAACCTGTAATACTCAGCAGCAGCAGCAGGGGGCGCTAGAAGGACAACGAAGGAGAAAAGTCATAGCTGGGCTGGAAGGTGGCTGGGAAACTAGCTATTCAGGGGCACAGCTCCCCTCTGCCTCCCTAGGGGACTCTCTGCCAGTGCAGGGTGGGGGAGGAGGGGCTAGGAGAGTGCTGCAGGCTTGAAGACTGTGAAGGATTGACCCCTTCCCTGGGGCTGCAGAGGCCTCACCAGGGCTGGGGGCCATGGCCTCGCTCAGCTAGTCCTGGTTTGTTTGTTGTTTTCCCCCTGATATCTTTCTCTTATGTTTAATTAATTTATATATTTATATTTGAGATAGTGTCTGACCGCATAGCCCCACTGACCTGGAAATCACTATATATACCAGAATGGTTTTGAACTCAGAGATCTGCCTGTCTCTGATTCTTGAGTGTTGGCACTAAATGTGTGTGCCACAATAGCCACATATTTGGAGATACATTTAATTCCTCAGTAGCCAATACCTTGTTTCCAGCTCCGTGTCAGAAGCTGTTAGATGCCCCCTGTCAGATCACTGTCCTGGCGTCTCTTGGTTGACCCTGGATGGCACAAAGGCCAGGAAAGCCACACACATGAGCCATTGTTAAGGCAGAGCCCTCTGCACATTCAAGTGTCAGGAGAGTAGCTAGAGAGACTCCAGGAGGCAGCAGGCAGCACCAGGCCTTAGGGAGGCTTGTCCTCAACTGGGCTGGGAACAAGATCTGTCGAAGGGTCAGTTGGACTCATCAGGACATTACCAAAGCAGCCATGCTGTCCTTCTCTGACCATGTCAAGTGTCCAGGCATCCACATTGGCTTTTTTTTTTTTTTTTAAAGTTTACAAGTCCCTGGATCAAAACAGACTGCATCCAGGTGGTATCACACACCTTTAACCGGGAGGCAGAGGCAGGCGGGTCTCTGTGAGTTTGAGGCCAGCCTGGTCTACAGTGTGAGTTCCAGGACAGGCTCCAAAACTACAGAGAATCCCTGTCTCCAAAGGGGGAAAAAACAGGGGGGGGGGTCAGAGGAGATCATGAGTCCAGGTCAGCCAGGGGAAGTCTCCGGGCCTAAATACTGTTTAGAAGGGCCTGGGAGTGCAGCTCAGTGGCCGAGTGCTGTGGAGGGGCGAGGCCCTGGGCTCCGTCCCAGCACAGCAGAAAAGGAAGTATGGCTTCCTTCACGGAGCCATGCTGAGGCTGGGCGACAGTCCCGGAGGTCAGAGTCGTTGATGGCAGCTTTGGGGAACTTGGCATGGAAAGACATCTCGCTCATGAAAGGAATGTGCACAGCTGTAGTCAAGATGGGCCGTGAGACACAGCGGGGGTGGGGGGGGCAGGCACAGAGCACTCCAGCGCCTCCCCTCAAGGAACAAACTATTTCTTCACTCCTGCATGTGGACTTGATCATGTGGCCCTGGGACATCACCAAATGTGACTCAAGCGAGGACTAGAAGAGTCAATAGGCTTGCTCTTTCTTCCGTGGATGAAGTTGTCCTGCAGTCACCTGCCCAGGCCAGGCCAGGCCAGGCCAGTCTCCCAGCTCCATGACCCTCTGAGCACCTGGCTACGGGGTCTGTGTGTCCAGCCCCTAGGTGCGTGCAGTCCCACAGGAGGGATGCTCCACTAGCAGGAGTCTTGGCTGCCAGCGCCTCTGATGACAACTGCTGTCTGCGCAGGGGTGTGGCCCTGCTCACCCAGTCCTTCACACAGGGTTAGTGTCTGCACCCCACCCCAGCTCAGACTGGGAACTGGGACCCCAGAGGGTCATCAGCCTCAGGGGAGACTCCAGAGCAGAGCAAGGCCAGTCCTGCCGATAAACTGAGTTCAGGGAAGGCCTCGCTCGGGTCTGTGCACACACTCCATGCTTTCGTTCCAAATTCACGCTGCTGTAACCTGCTCCCCTCTCTCTGGCCTTGCCCTGGATTTTCCAAGGACAGCAGCTGCTGCTGACCCTGTTAGCATCCACGGGAGGTCAACTAGTTCCTTGACCTCTCAGCCACACTCTCGGGGTGACACCCCAGTCCTGTCCTGATCTACATGTGGTAGCTCCCATATTCATCACCAGGGTCCCCTCTGTGCCACCGACTCCTGCTGGGAGTCCCAACCCTCAACACATCACCGCGTCGAAGCTCCAGCTCTTTGTGCAAGCCCCGTTGTCCCTGCCGGCTGAGATCCCATGGTTCCTCCGTGAGAGCTTCTACCCAGCAAGCCTCTGGTGCCTGAGCTGGGCTCACTCTCTGGTAGGAACCCAACTCCATCCCTCCTGGTCTGCACTTGAGCTCTGAACCTGGCTGGAGAAAGCTCAGGCTGTGGTGTGCTGCTCCAACCAGATGCAGACCGTGACTGACCATCCTACACCGGAAGTGTCACAGCTGCTTTGCATTCCCAGTCTCCAGAACCACCTGCTTTCATTTGTAAAATGCTAATAGCCACACATGGCTCAATCGTGAAATCACTCCAGCTATACCCATAAGCAAACTCAAATGTGCATGCATGTGAAGGCACACTGCTTTCCCGGGACATTCCGCCATCTGACTTTTCTAGTTGGTACAGAGGGACCTTCCTCCCTTTCCTCACTGCCACACCGGCCTCCATTGTTGGGTGGGCTGAGATCATTCCTAGCTGCCCACTGATGGACACGTTGGGAGTTTCCAGTATTTTGCTTCAACAATGGAAGTGACTGACCCGGGTCACTTGGCATAATTGCTATTGCTGGACTTGGGATCAGGCAGAAAGGGCATAGCTGGCTCCCAGTTGTGAGATCTGTCTGTTAGTCTCACACCTGCCTGCACAGGGCTGTGCAAAGCTCCTCAGAACCGGTGCCCCACGGCCTTGCCCAGGGCACCGCCATTACTCCAGTCTTGCCAATGAGCCACAATCCCCTTCTACAGACTTCTCAAACCGAGTTTGGCTCAGCTGCTCCCCGAGCCCCCCAGACCCCCATCCCCACAAGGCCTTCCTCGCCTCCGGAAGACCACGGCTGATGAACTGCTTTTAGCACAGGGCCCATCCACCTCTGTCACAGTCAGGGTCCTCCATACCCTTCCTCTCTTCCCTGGGGAACGGGGTACTCCTTATGAAGGCTCCTGGGTCTTCTCTGTCCCCCATTTCTAAGGGGGCAGCCTGAGGTGTCCCTCCAGGTCTTAAATCGCTAAATTCTCTCTTCAAAAGTCTTTACAGCTGGAACGAACTTGACCCTGGTCTGTCTGTCTCTTGCTCTCCAGCCTGTCCTGACAGAGTCCTCCCCTGCCTTGTCCCCTACAGCCTCACTGACTTCCCAGCTCTTCCTGCTTTTGTCCAGGTGACACTCAGCCTTGTGCTGGGCTAGGGGCTCCGAGGGTCTGGGATGTCAGCCAAGTCTCCACAGCTGGGATCCCCTCCACTGGCCCCTGCTGCGTGAGCTCCAGACTGTTTGTGTGTTTGTGTGGACCTCTGAGAACAGCAGGCATCAAGCGCATGAGCCCGTCAGTGTGGAGCCCGAGGGACAAACTCTGCTTGCAGGGGCAGAAGTGGGATCGGGCAGTGACCTCTCCCCTGTGTTGGTGCTCTGGAGCCTGCTGGCCTGACATACAGAGCCTCTGCCCCGAGGTGGTGACTCACTTCCGCTCTCTGGGGCAAGTTCAGGGTTTTCCTGGAGAAATGACCGACGTAGAACTAGGTTGGTGGCAAGGTGGGCCCTGCCCTCACTGAGCGAGCGGCAGGGACCCCTGGTGTCACCCAGGCAGGCACTGTCATCTTCCGCTTGGCACTTTGGGGCTCCATGTACTCTGGCCCAGTTCAGTTTCCCCTTGACCTTCAGCCGAGGGTTCTCCTCTCACGCTAGTGGGGAGGGCCCAGGTAAGAGCTCTACTTGCCTGGGCTGTGAAGAAGACTCAAACCAACACAAGTGTGCAGCCCATGGCAGGCACTGAGAGGGCCTGGCGCACATGCCCTGTGGCCTCCTGCCAGCCTGGCCTCCCAGTTAGTGGTGGGGCTCATCCCATCCCCATGCCATGAAGCTACACATATGTGCACTGTATACACACACGTACTCACACACACACATACACCGTACACACACACATACACCGTACACACACACGTGCACCGTACACATGTGTACTGTACACACACATGCACTGTACATACACACACACATACACCGTACACACACACATACACTGTACACACACACGTGCACCGTACACACAGGCGCACCGTACACACACGTGCACCGTACACACACACACGTGCACTATACACACACATGCACCGTACACACACACACACACACGTGCCCCGTACACACGAGTACTATACACACACATGCACTGTACATACACACACACATACACCGTACACACACACACACTGTACACACATACATACACCGTACACACACCTCCCTTCTTTATGGGATGGTCACAATTCCTCACCACCTAGGATCTGTCCTGAACTTTGTGGAGTAGTTTGTCATGCCCTTTTCCGCCTACAGACTCAACTCTGCCCCAAATCCTAGGTCAGAGGTGGGGTGCAGGGGAGGTGGCCATATGCCCTTCCCATTGTGTATACACCAGGAGTGTGTTGTTCACTGAGTGCAAGCATGGAGTTAACACGATGGAAGCCCACGCCTCACCTTCCCACCAGCCCTCCATGCCCCCATCAGGATGACAGGCAAAGGCTTCGGGAGGGATGAAGAATGGGCCTAAGTTCATGAAAGGGCACAGCATTTGAGAGGCTGCCCAAGAGCTGGCTGCCAGGACTGTCACCATGAACCAGAACAGGAGAGAGCCACAGGGCCATCACGGCCCCTCCCCCAACTTTGCAATTCTCCAAATAAATCACTCCACAGCCACTTTTGAAATCAGTTTTACATCAAGCTTTATATATATATATATATATATAAACATATAACCACCCTAAATTCTATCCTGAGTACACTCATACAAAATCAACACTATAAAAATAATATCAACAATATTAATGTCATCAAACAAGCTGACATCTACAGAAATATGAAGGCCTTCGTGCATTGCTCACAGTCAGTGGCCAGTTCCTGGCCAGTCTTGTAAGGCAAGTACCTGGAGGGGTTAAATCTGGAGGAAGGGCTTCACGTCCTTGAACCAGGAGGACTGGTGAAGGCTGGGCCAGTGCCGAGAAGGGCTTACCGGCCAGAGAAGAGTAAAGGTGCTTGATGTTTCCCAGGTGTGGGACCCATTGTCCCCCCAGAGCCAATGACTACTGGGTGACAGGGATTAAATCGGCAGCTGGAAGGAAGGCTGCTAATAAATCTCCAGGAGGGTTCAGTGCCACCACTGGGCTCTACACCACAGAGGGATTGGAAGCAGCAGTGGCAGGAAGGACATACATAGTAGCTGTTCCTGGCTCTGAACGTACAAGGGCCTCGGACAAGAGGTGTGCGTAGCCTCTAACAACTGGGAAAGTCCAGGAAATGACTCTTCCCCGGGGCCTCCAGAAGCAAGGCCCTGACCACACTTAGATTCCAACTGTAAGGAAAGTTCTGGTTCAGACTCACTGGATGTGTGGAGATGTGCTGCAGCACCAACAGGAAGCTAATCAAGAACTTGCTGGACTCGTGTGTTCCCACCCAGACTTTGGAGGGCCGGCCCACAGAGGTGCTTGTTCCTACGTGGGGGGGGGGGGGCACAACCTGGGAGAACCCATGAGGCCCCGGGCCTACCAAGGCCTTCTGGGCCACTGCCCAAACGTACACGCACAGAGGCAGCCATGGGGCGTGAAGAAGCTGGCCCTCGTGGCTGAGCGGGGCCAGGAGCTACTTGCAGGAGCAGGGGCCCGCTCTGCAAGTGGTTCTCACGCTAGATCTGCCATGACATTTCTCAAGCCCCCTTCCAGGTCAGGGGTCAGCTTTTCCTTCTCTCCCCTTTGCTTTCGGCTCTGTCTCATGGCAGCCCATGGACTGAAGGGAGCAGGAAGAGGCTTCATCCCTGGTCCTGGGGAGCTGGATGGGGCTACTTAGAGCCACCCAAGGGGAGTGCAATAGAAGACAGACTAATGTAGGAAGGCAGGGACACTCTGCCCAAGAAGAACCATCCTTTACAAGAAATGTCCTGTGTACTCACAGGTCAAGTCCCCACAATAGGTTCTGGGCCCCCTTGGACAGCAGTCTGTCCAATCCTGGCTGCCAGGTCTTGTTCCAGATCCACGGCTGGGCGGTGGCAGCGGAAGGTGGGAGGCTGGTGATGGGTCACTGGTGGTCCTGCTGCTACCGAGCGTCCCCAGCTGGGGAGGTGACTGGCGTTCCCCGCATGCTCATCAGCACATCAGACATTTGGAAAAGCTAACCAACTTTTATAAGTGAAAATAGGGGTCTGCACGGCTCCTGCACCCCTGTGTTAATGTCCAGTATATTCCGGATGCTCCTGATCTCACTGCTCGGTAGATTTCCCTTGATGGCCAGGATGGCGTTCAAGTGGCCTTTGCTGGTAGGAAGAGCATCCAGTCAGTGCCACTGCTGGCAAACACCCCTGCTCACAGCTCTGGCTGGCTTCTCTGGCTCCAGGCCCTGCCACCAAACCTGCGGCCACCTGCTGTGTCCAGTTGGCAGCCCCCCCCCCCGCCCCGTGTCTTCTTTCCCCTCTCCATCTCCAGCCTGCCAAGGCTGTCTCCCCCCAGAACACTTCTCACACCCTTGAGGTGGAAGACTCCTTCCCAGCTAAAGTTTTAGCTAAATGCCACCTCACCATCTCTGGACAGCAACCCTTGCAATTCAAGATGCTTGTCTGGGATACCGGTAACCGACTGTTGGTGGGATCCCAGGAGAGGAGGGGAAATGATGGGGTCAGTGGACAGGAGGGTAAGCAGACAGGTAGGTGGGTCGACGAGGAAGCCGAAGGATGGAAGGGCAACTGCACAGAAGGTGGGGGATGGTTGGATGCGTGACAGGTGGGTAAGGAGGTAAACGGAAGGATGGACAGATGGAGCAATAGGAGAGCGGTGAAGCGTAAGGACAGGTGGCTAGCGGGCCATAGATAGGTGGGTGGCTAGCGGGCCATAGATAGGTGGGTGGGGGCTTGGATAAATATAGGCCAATATGTAGAGAGATGATTGGCTAGGTGGAGTGGGTCAGCTACAGACCAGATAGGCAAAGCTACATCAACCCCAGTCAAGACCAGTTCAACTTTCACATCCAGGACACAGCCTAGGAAGGAACTCCTTCCATGGTTCACCAGGCCCTCAGACAGCTCCTTAACAGGATCAGGACGGTACAACACGTAAGCTCATGCCCCCAGGTCACCCCCAGACTAAGGGTCAGACATGATGATTCCACCGTAGTTGAGTGGGTCAGGGGACTCTCATCCCAGCGTGATCAGAGCACAGTGGGACCTGGCAGGGACAAAGCCGTTACTCAGTTCCTGAGGGCCTCTAGCACTCACCTGAAGTCAGGGTACAAGGTGGCATACGTGGCCACCTCAATCTTAATGGCACTGGAATCTTGTAGGCGAATGATCTCAGCGAGCTTAGGAAGGGCCTGGTGCAGCCAGGTTGCAGGGGAGCCCTGGGAGCAGAGGGATGGTTGGAGGGTGATGTAGACCCCTTCCCCCCCCCCAGGGATGCAGAGGGATGGCTGAGGGTGATGTAGACCCCTTCCCCCCAGGGATGCAGAGGGATGGTTGGAGGGTGATGTAGACCCCTTCCCCCCCCCAGGGATGCAGAGGGATGGCTGAGGGTGATGTAGACCCCTTCCCCCCAGGGATGCAGAGGGATGGTAGGAGGGTGATGTAGACCCCTTCCCCCTGGGATACTGAGAAGCTGTGGGCTGTTCAGGGCTCTTAGGGTGGGGGTGGGGTGTGCTCACATTCTGAGTGCAGAAATGCTGAATGACATCGGCATTGTCTAGGATGTTTCTTGCCAGCTGCTGCTGCTGCTCCTCAGTCTTGAGGACCAGACGCCGTTTGCTAAGCCGGATGATGTATTCCTTCACCAGGTGTAGGTGCACAGCCTCCATGAGCTCCTGGGCAGCAAGAAGCCAGGGGGGTGTGAGCCCATCCACTGACACCTACCCATAAGGGGCTCACCCCCACCCCCAATGAGGGCTCATCTCCACCCCACCCCCACCCCCAATGAGGGCTCAACTCCACCCCCACCCCCGAATTAAAGCTTCCAAGGCAAAACCGGAGGAATACACAGGGGCAAAAGTTCGAGCACAGGTGCCAGCATTTCCCTTGTGCACGTGCAAACACACATGGGGTTGGTGTGGGGTCCAGACTGCTCCAATCCCACCCCCAGGGCCACTGCTGAGCTTGCTCACCTCCTGGAAACAGTGCTTCAGTTCCGAGAACTCAGGCAGCCTGAAATCCACAGCACTGATGATTTCCTCCAGGGTCTCGACCGGCGTTGCCCAGCGGTTCTGTGTGAACTTCTTGAACAGCGGCTGGGGCAGGCGAGAGGCAGGATGTCTGGTCACGCCCAGAAAGGAAGGGGGCAGCCAGGCACAGACACCCTCACATAGACACTCATGACCGCAGGGTCCCAAGGGCTTTCCAGGAGCTGGCTAACTTTGAGGTCCCCACTCTGAGATCGGAAGCACAGGCAGTCTGTGTGTACCTTTCTTCCAAGGCCATGCAGCTGTGGCTCGGGAGAGCCTGTCTGCAGCCCTGCGTGCGGTCTTTCCCACTGCCTCTCTCTTAAATAAATAGATTCCTGCATAAACAAGGCCTTGTGCTTGGCTGAGCTAAGCCCTGTGCCAGGTCACGCAGGGTCACCCCATGAGCTTCCCATATCCACTGACTGCCCTTTGGACCTCCAGTGCTGAAGCTGAGCCTGGAACCCCTGCCCTACTTTCTGAGGGGCACCCAGCAGATGGAATCCAGCTACCCAAGGTCCTGAGCCCCAGGAACTGGGAGCCAGGAACAGGGCTGGGGTAGGAGCGGAGGATGAATCTTCTCCAGATGCTCCCAGCTCTGAGGCCCTTTCAGGCCAAGGTAAAGCCGGGACGTGGGCGTGGGCGGGTCAGCAGGCGAGAGCGCCAGGGCCCGCCACGTGGACACCCGCGGCGCACTGCATCTCCCCCCTGCCCCTCTCTCAGGTCTGAAGTGGGGGCTTCTACTACCCCTCTCCCTGAGCTCACTCCTGTGCCAGGCTTCAGGATGCGCCCCAGAATGGGGCTCCCCATACCTTCAAGTCTGCAAACAGGCTCTGGAGCAGGGCGTCAAAGCCATGAGCCTTAAGCTCCTTCAAGGGATCCAACAGGTGCCTCAGGGAATCTTGAGGTATCTGCCATTTCTGCTCCATGGACGTCCTGGAGAGTGAACAGGAGGAGGTCGTGACAGCCTGCCCAGCCTGCAACACTACAGCGATCCTGGCGCAGTCTTCCTGAATTGGGCCCTTGCCCTAGGACCCTCGTAGCTCTCAACTCTGCAGTCCCAAGCTTCCTGCGTGTGCCCCATGTCCCAGGCACATCCCCTCTGCCTTTCACCCTTAGCTTGTCTTCTATTTCACAACTTCATTATAAAGCTGAGGTAATAAATATATCAGTGGCATCCTGCTGACTACTCCGGCACCTCACCCCTTAGCTGTGGCTGCTCATTTCCTCACAGCCTTGTGACCCTTAATTCCCTTTCTGTGCCCCACCTCCCATCTGCCCTCTCTCCACGGGGCGGATCTGCCCAGTACTCTCACCGGAAGGACAGGCAGTTGTTGATGTTGGCGATGATGTTGGCCCTGTAATTTCTCAGCAGCTTGCTTTTCTCGAGAAATTCATCAAAGGTGCGCTGGTAGCTGACAAACCAGAGCGAGCACCTTCAGGACCAGTTCAAGCCCCGGGACAATAGAAGCCCCCCCCCCCAGTCTGCTGGCTGCTGGTCTCCCCGGGACACAGGGAGGGGCCATCCGTTCCTAAGCATCCTATCACAGGCTGCAAAATCAGCCAGAGCCCCATTTGGGTTCCAGGGAAAGTGCCTGACTCTGGGTTTCCCGTTCGTTTCCTGGGCCCCTCATCTTCCCCAGACCCCTCCTCTATAACTGGGAGGCCAAAGGGTGTAACAGTTGGCCGATGGTGTTCTCGGAAGTGGGGAGGAAACCCAGTTAGTTCTGAGGCTGTCAGGGGAAGGCACAGCAGGGCCGCCGCTCCTCGTGGGGTATCTTCTTTAAGCTACAAGCTGCTCTGCTTAGGAGATTTGCTGATGATGGAGTCAGGAGGTACCAACTCCCTGAGGGGGTCACCCCACCTGGGGCTCTCGGTGCTCTGGATTGGGGCAGGGCCAAAGGACCCTGCGCTGTAGTTGACAAGGGCAGGATGGGATGACTTGGATCCCCGCCCCCACCCCCGGCCAACCCTAAGCACTAGGAGAGCCGTGGCTTTCAGAGCTGCTGGGGGCCCTGTGTGCTGTAGACACACCTACCTCCTCAGTAGTGCAGCCAGCTCCACCAGAAGCAACTGCCTTATCTGTACCCCCACTTCAGAAGTGATGTTCTCAGCCTTGCCTTGGCCTTGTGAGATGATCTGCAGGGAGCAATGTTGAGCTTAGTGGCAAGCATAGCGGGTGCCCCTCAGAACTGGGGCGCGGCAGAGCATGCGGGGGAGGTGCGTGCTGGGGCACGGGCTCCACCAGAGGTGACCTGCGGCTGTCCCTGTTCACCAGGGGCCCGAGGGGGCAGTTAGTGGTACCTGGATGATGTCAATAGCCAGCTCGCTGTGGTAGTGGCCATCCAGGCTCTGGGGAGCCACATCCTGGGCCCAGCGTTGAGACTCTAGCTCTAAGGCTCGGGCCATCATCACCTTCACATTGGTCTAGGAGGAAAGACACAGGTCAACCTGCATCCTGCCTGGGCTCTTCCTGCCCACCTCCACTAGCGCGGTCAGACCCCGCCCCCAGCATCTGGACTCACCACTTCATTGGACAGGAACATGGCCTCCAGCAACCTGATCTGCTTAGGGGGCAGGAGGCTCCCAAGCCTCACATCCTGCAGCTCCTTTGCCAACTTGGGGCTGTTCAGGATCTCACTGTGGGCAGAGACACTGGCATGAGGGAATAACAGCGGCGGCCCAGCAGTGTAGCCGGCGACTCAGCAGCCACAGACACCGCTGTGTCTTCTGCCCGCTCCTTTCCCCTTCCCCACGCTGGGCTACCTTCAGCTTAGTTCCGGCTGGAGGCACCCTGCCTCTCCTTACCCCTCCCTACTCCTCCTTCCCCAAACCAGATCCCCAGACCTCTTAGCCTGGAGGTTGTCCTCCAGCCCTGCCTGCCCGCATCCTCTCTTGCCCAGCTAACTGAAGGATCTTCCTTTCCTTTGCTTCTGCGCGGAACACCAACAGCGCCTTTGCCCCCAGAGCCAGCTTTCTGCCTGTCTACTGGGCTTCCCCTAGAGCACAGATACAACACAGCTCCTGGCCCCACTGGCCCTACAAGCCAGCCCCACCACTCCCACAAAATCAGACTTGTGGCCAAGCAGGAACGGCTGCCTTGGCTGCCCTATAGAATTCTCTTGGTGCCTCAACTGGCCTGAGTTCCCAGGGGACCTGCTCAGCCCTGGCACTGCCTAAGGCCCTTTGTTTGCCTGGAACATTAAGAACAGCCCTCTCTTTGCCCTTCACCCAGCTTGGAGGAATGTGAGCCACACTTTGGTCCTCAGGCCTAGGCATGCCTCCCTTGGACTCCACGTTCCGTTTAGCCTTAGCTTCCTGCTTTGCAGCTACGCCCCAAGTCAGGAGACCCCAAAGTATCACAGGGGCAGGAAGGTGACCAGGCAGGGGGTTTGGGCGCCTGGCATTTCCTGATGAGTCAGGACAAACCAACAGGAACTAGATCAGGGTGCAGCTGTCTCTAGAAGTCCCTGCCGGTTTTCCCTGTGTGCTGCTGGCTCTGAACTTACCACCAGTGCGCCATTGTGGCCCTTTCTCTGGTCCTCCCACCGGAGGCTGGCTCAGCACCTAGCAATCTGCTCGCACTGTCAGTACCCACAGCCTCCCTCCTGTAGACTTTTACAGGGCAGACTCGGTAAGAATCCCTGGTCCTAGAGCTTCGGACATTTCCACCCCGCAATACAAGTCACTCCCCCAGCTGGGATCCATGGATTCTAGGCCAATCAAACGATGCCCGAGGCTGGTCCCAGCTGAGTACCAATTAGGCAGTTGGTATCTTTGGCACAGCCAGTCTCTCACCTGAGGTGAGCCAGATCGTGGTCTGACAGAGATTCCCCAAGAGGGACACCTCGGGCTCTCCACTGCTGCGGGCTCACGCGCTCGCTCGCTTGGGGTTGTTAAGACCCAGCAGCTGTGCACCCAGGATGCCACTCCCCTTGCCTGGAATACCATCCTCCTTGTTTGTTCTGTCCCCTCCCTACACGAACGTCAGTGTGGACTGACTCAATACAGAAGACTCCCGGCTCCCCCAAATCTGGTCCCCTCTCAAGCCTCGTGCTCTGGCCTCCCCCATGTCCAGCTGCATCTGTCACAGCCCCTCCCACTCTGTTTTCCCGCTGTCCAGATCGGAACCTCTGAGAATGAATGACCGATTCCCCTTTTCCCAGCTGCAGAATGGCAAAGGTCCCGGAGACTGAACTGCAAAGCCAACGCGCTCGGTACAATTCCCAACTCTCTTCCTTCACCCCAGCATTGGCTTCCAGCTCAACAATGCCTGCTTCTGGTGTCTCAGCACCTTCCGCAGAGAGACCCGTCCCACCCACTGGAATAGCTCACTTGGGGTAGAAGTTATGCACCCAGAGCAGCAGCAAGTAGGTGTCCCTCTCGCACAGCTCGAACTGCACCAAGGTGCACAGGTGGGTTGCGAAGTGCTGGTGGTAGCTCTCGGCGTAGGTGTGCACAACGTTGAACTCGGCGGGAAACAGCGGTTTGAGCCGCTCCACTACCGTCTCCAGGTCCTCCCTCATGGTGCAGCCCATGTGCACGAACTTGTTCTCGACCTCTGAGCGACCCTCGGGCACCGTGGCTGGCTGCGCGTCCAGACGCTGGGCCGCCACCTCCGCCACGCCGCCCCTCCACAGTTGCAGCCAGCGCCGAGGGCGCGTGGCCACCAGCACCGTTGCCACGGGTCCCCCGGCCGCCCGACGGTCCTCGAGCTCCTGCTGCGACACCACGGCCAGCGCCTGGCTCACGCGTTCGGGCTCAGCCTCCAGCGGCCGCCGCAGCACCCCAAGCACCTGGTCGCGCAGCAGCAAGTACAGCGCCTCCACCTTGCTCTGCTGACGCACCAGCTCCTCGTCGCTCGCGCCACCCGCCGCTGCAGCAGCCTCCAGCTCCCGCTCCAACGCCAGCACCGACCACGCGGCCTCCAGCCGCCCACTCTCCAGGGCCTCCTTGAGCTCCTCCACTGCAGCGCAGAAGCACGCGTTTAGGCCCACAAACTCACCAGGGCAAGAGGAGGGAGGAGGCCAACGTCCCAGACAAGAGCCAGGCAGAGAGCCCCATCTCCTAGACTGGTGAGCCCGCTCACCTGCCCTCTGCCCTGGCTGTGGTTTACAAGCCCCTACCCCGGCCCGAACAGGCACTACTTCCTGCGTGCTACTCCAGCCCCAGCTACCACCACAGCCTACCTGTGGGCGGTGGACCATCCAGCTCGGGCCTGGCCTTGGGCTGGACCTCAGGATCTGATAATCTGGGCTGATCCTTTTTCTTCTTCTTCCCTTTGGTGAAGACACTGAACATGTTGGCCAGTCCTTTGGACTTCTTCTTCTCCTTCTTGGAAGACTCTTCCTCCTCCCCATAAGGAGCCATCCCAGCCTCCTGGGATGGTATCAAGTCCTCAGAGGAGGTCTCTGACATGGAGGCCTCTGATTCCACCTCAGATGTAGACTGTGGCTTCTGGAGGCTTCCAGCAAAGTCCAGGGTCCCCAGCACAAACTGTTGGCCAGGAAGCCCTTGGAAGAAAGTAACCATCTTCAGCATCACCCTGGCTCAGGCCTGCCGGTTGGAAAACAAAGGCTTGAGAGATCACCATGAACGGTCCCCAGGCCTGAGTGCAGACCAGCCTGCAGCCATGACAAGGGCTCGCTCGATTTCACCTGCATGGCCACCAGAACCCCATCTCCTGGCCCTCGGCCCTGCTTCCTCCTTGGCCGTGGGTCCCCCCAGATAAGGAAAAGGCTGGGGCCCCAGACTGAGGGACTGAGGGTGCAGTCTCCACAGTTGGGTACCCACAGCCATGCGGTGAACCCTAGCACCCTGCCCACTGGGATCAGCGTCTGCCTCCTCTCTCCTCCTTGCACATCTAGCTTTGGGAGTCACAGAAATATGCCACAAGCAACAGGTTTGGGGACTTCAGACTGTAAGCAAAGGACCCCAGAAAGCCTTTTACATGTTAGCAAGGCACAGGGTTGCCAGAGGTCATACTGTGGGACCCATACTGCTTGGTTTCCACCTTACCCTGCTTGCTCCCAAGTGGGTAACCCACAAAAGCTTATGTCTCCGCCCAGTGCTGGTGCATGCCTTTAATCCCAGCACCTGGGAGGCAGCGGCAGGCGGAAGTCTCTCTGTGAGTTCGAGACCAGCCTGCTCTACAAGAGCTAGTTCCAGGACAGGCTCCAAAGCCACAGAGAACCCTGTCTCAAAAAACAAAACAAACACTTACATTTCTGTGCCCTTCCTAGGTGTCCACCCCACCTCCTCTCTCCCAGCAAGGGTGTTATGTAGCTTAAAAATAACCTTGTGGCCAATAGCTTGAGGTGAGAAGCCACAGCATCTGGCTCAGATGATTAACTTGCGTTTGTCAGGTCTCACACACCCTACTATATCTGGATTGTCAAAGCGAGGAGGGTCACCAGAGGAAGCATGGCTAGCCCAGGAGCAGCAGACAGGAAGAGGGCCTCTGTGGTAATAGTATGACCTATTTCCAGGAGGTGGCCTGCCTGCCCCATCTCCAACAATATACACCCCAAGCTGTAGCTTCAACTCACCAAGATGACCTGGAGGGACCTTGAGACAGCCCTGGAAGGCATAAGACTCACCACCACAAAGAAACTGAAGCTGCCCATAGCAGGCGCTTGCCCCAAGCACAGCAGACTCTACTGCTTCAGATAAGGCCTCTTTCCCACAGCCTCCCTGCCTCCAACAGCTCGGCTGTCCGGCTCATTTCCTGAGGGGCTTGTCCCATAACTAGGGCATGGGTAGAGCACCCTGATTAGACGTGAAGCCTGGCCTCTTCACCAGCTCTTGTCATCTTTACCAGGTGCCCCGAACAGACAGACCTCTCTCTCTCTTTAACCTCACGAGGCCTGAGAATTCCACTTAGGGCCAGGCAGTGTTTAAGGCCTGGACCAACCTATCCTATTTGCGTGACAAACACCCATCAAGGCTGGTCTGGCTGATGGAGCTACTCAGCCCAAACCTGAATATCTGGCTCCAAGTGCCCTTCAGTGTCAGAGTCTGTTGGTACACGAGGGAGGGCCAGCTGCACCTCTTCCCAGTGTTAGGTAGGGCTAACTGCTCCTCCTCAGCGGGCCTCAGTTTCTCCATTTGTGAAGAGAGGGTGCACCCTCCTACTCACAGTGCTTTTCGGGGACGTGGCAAAATCAAGGCCTGGAACTTGGCACCCAGTGGGCCCCACAGAGTGAGTCCCCTGTGTCCCAGCTGGTCCACTGAGGCAGGAGGGGGCCTGCTCGGAGGCACGCGGAGTGGCTGCACGGGTGACACCTACCGTAATTCTAGCCGCCTCTCTTCACAGAGCACCACACTGGTCTTGCCACCTAAAGTCTCTCTCACCGGGTGGCAGGCGAGCGTGCCCATGCCCCGCTAGAGACTACCCGGCAGGGAATCCCGAGAGAGAGTGCTGGAACCTTCCTGCTGAAGACCCGAGTCCCTAGCTATTGTCCCTAGGGTGCGTGCCTGCACGTTTCTCCGGAGAGAGCCCAGTGCTGTCACCGGGAACCCGGGTCAGAGGGGCATGCTGGCCGGCATGGAGTGTCCCTCCCTCGGGGCCCTTCCCTGGGGAGTCCTGTCGGAGACTGCGGTCAGGACTGGGGCAGTGGGGACAGGGCAGGCCGGTGGAGGTCACTTACTGTGTCCGGGACAGGACGCCTTAGCCCTGGCCCTGGCGGGGCACAGCCTGAAATAGTCGCAGGCTCCACCCGGGTTCCGCCTACCCCACCAGCCGCAACTGCGGAAAACCCGCGGGGCGGGCGGAGGCCACCGACCAAGCGGATTCCAGAGCTGGGGGAGGGGCCGGGCCTCAGGGGGAGGGGCAGGGTCGCCTCGTTGTTCCCGACAGCCTGGAAAGAGCGTGGCCGAGCTGGCCCAGCGTGGCCGGGGGATGTGCGCGCAGGGAAGGGTGTGGGGGTGGTGGGCACGAGTTCCGCCAGGCGCGGGGCCATTGTCCCACGACGGTCTCTGATTGGCTGCCAAGCCGCTGGCCGCGTCACACAGTCAGCACCCACTCAGGTCTGGGGTGCGCCCTCTACCACCTCAACGCCCCGGCCACCTGCTGACACCCTCTGAGCAGCACTGAGTCGGTGGAAGCCTTGCCCGGAGGTCACCCAGGCAGAGATGACAGACACCCCCCACTGAGCCTCCCGCGTGACTCCCACCGGCAAGCTGTCTTAGGGTGGGCTTGGGCCAGATCCTCAGGATCCCCTTCTGAGGGCTTTTTTTTTTTTTTCCCTCAGGGTCTGCCTTGGGGAGGAGGGTGAGGTTGTAGGTCAGGGTAGGAAGGGGGAAGCTTCACTCCCTAGGAATTTCTGCCCCCTGGAAGATGGGCTCACTCCGGAATTTCCCTCCCTAAACGCCAGCTTCTTTTTTTGCCTCTACATGGAGTTCAGCTCCTCCCCATCTTTTGTTTTGGGTTCTCTCAGTCCCCTGCCAGCCTAAGCCAGGCTTTGAAGGGAGAAGAAAGGGCCTCTGAGTGGGGGTTATGCTTAGGGGTTATCCCTGGAAACTCAGAACTTCCTCTTCCTCCTGGGGAGCAGAGGTCAAGTGCCAGGTTTAAGATGCTCCTCCATCCTATCCCTTGGTAGGCTGTAGAAGGCAAGTTCAGAAGGTTGCTGGGCATGATGGCTCACACCTTTAATCCCAGCATTAGGGAGGCAGAGCAGATAGACCACTCTGAGTTCAAGGCCAGCCTTGTCTACATAGCAAGTTCCAGGACAGCCAGGGCTACACAGTTCTGTTTCAGACCCTGTCTCAAAGCCAGATGCCACCTCTTCTCCTGAGGTCCTAATGGGTGACATTTTCAGGTGAAGCCCACAGAGCTCAGGGTGAGGGTTATTGCCTCTGCTCCACAGGACACCCGAGGGAGATCAAGAGCTTAGGGTCCCAGGGTCCCACCCACCCTTGCATCTAAAGATAAAAGAGGACAGAAATCCAGGAGTCCTAGCCTACCACCTCCTGCAACCTCACCTCACCAGAGTCTACCCAGTCTCTACCTTGTCTGTCCAATGCCTAATTTCAAACAGGTATGGTTGAGAGAGGAGAGTCAGGCCTTCAAGAACCCATATCTGCTCTGAGCCTCTGGGCTCTGCGGGGCAGATGTAGGAATGTCAATCTTATCCCAAGATTCCCATAGTGTCTTCCTCAGAGCAGAGTCAGGTACCACCCACCTTGTGTGGGCACATCAGGCACTTCTCTGTTTGTTAAGGGTCAGGGCCAACGGTCCTATGTGAAGTTCTCAACGTAAAAGAAAGGCAGAAATTGGGCTATGTGGATAGTTAGTGTGGTGCTCAGGGACCCAGAGAGTTTAACTCGGTTGCATAGTCCACCAAAGGCCAGCTAACAGGTACTTTCCCACAGCAGAGAAGCAGTTGGAACAGCTTATCTGGAGAGCTGCTTCCCCAAACCCAACCCCTGGAAAGCCTGAGAGTCAAGGCTACAAAGGACCCTGGTCCAGCACAGAAGTCCTGGTGGCCAACACCTGGCCACGAGCCATAAGGCGCTGCTTGCTGGCAACCCTCTCTCCCCAAGTAGGAACTGCTGATACTGCTGATTCTTCATCTCTTGGGCGTTTTGTGGGGAGTTGTTGGGTTTTTTGTTTTGTTTTGTTTGACAAGATCTTTATAGCCCAGGCTGGCCTGGAACTCAAAATCCCTCTATTCTACATCTTGGGTACTGAAATGATAGGCTCTTCCTTTTATGTGTTTAATATATATATATGTATGTATATATATATGCATATTATACATATATATGTATATATATATATCATATAATATAAAATGTACCATTCCGGCTGTGAGCATCAGCATTAGTGCAGTGCATGTGAGTGTCTGTACATGAGAACGTGTACATGTGAGCACAAGTGCTCCGTGGAACAGAAGACAGCATTGGATCCCCTGGACCCGGAGGGAGGCTGCTCATTATGGGTGCTGGGAACCAAACTTGGGTGCTCGAAACAACCAAACCATCTCTCCAGCTGCACAGAATTCATCTCTCCAGCTGCACAGAATTCTCTTTGCCCTGCAGACCTGAACCATGGTCCCCATTATACAACAGTTACTGTTCCCTTCCCTCCCCTGAGCCCCTGGTAACCCATTCTATGGCTGTGTCTGCTGCATGGATCTCGTGAGTGGGTGTATACAGCCATTGCCCTTTCATGATTGTGTGGTGACACCACGTAAAGGGACAAAGACTAACTCTTGGTCCTTCACCCAAGAGTGGACCTGATTTATCCAATAGTCTGGATCCCTCCTATTCTGATAGTGCAATCTAGATTAGGTCTAGTCTAGAATAAGTCTAATAGAAGAGTCCTAATATAAAAAGGGAGCCCTGAATCGAGACTGTCCTCTATACCGAACAACACAGGAGATGTAACAAACAGGAATGAGCAACTGTGGTCTTAACCTTTTACAGGAGTCTCAGGAGAAAAAAAAAAATTTCCCCAGCTCTACCTACTCAGAACTGCACACCGCCTCCAGCACATGGTCTTAGGCCTGGTCCCCACGACAGGTGCACGCATGACATTTGGTCCACATGGGTTTGTTGTGTAGCAGTTTCCTTGTACTAAAAGCTTCAGTTTTGGAGGGAAGCCCTAAGAACACAGGACATTTCCTGGGAGGCGAGGCAACTGATGGTCTAAGAGGAGGTGAAACAGTCCATCTAGCAGTGAGGCTGGTTAAGACAGGAAGCAAACAATTCGGAATAGCTTCAGGAAGTCCCTGAAACTGACCAGACCCACTGGGGTTCCCCTCCTTCAAGCCATAAGAGCTGCTAAGCCATGCTCTCAGATAAGCTGCAGCCTAGAAGACCCTTACAGCTGGCCCATTGGGGACATCAGATCAGCCAAATGGCCTGGAAGAAACAAGCCAGCCAGCCAGACCTGCCTCAAAGAGTCTCAGACCACCTGAGCTGCCTGTAAATGACATCTCCAGCCTATAGTGACCTGCCTGCAGGTCTCCAGGTCCCACTGTTACTGTCACTGTCAGCCATGCTGGTGACAGTTTCCAGTGGTGCAGCTGCCCTGAGTCATTTGTGCTCCTGTAAGTAACCTCTCACCCATAACCCTGCACATAACACCAATAAAACTCATTGGTTCACCAAGTTGGACTTAACCTGTACTTTGATCTCTTCCCTATTGGGGTGAGTGGACATTTGTCCCCGGGAACAGTATCCTGCAGCAGTTACAAAGGAGACATAGAAAAGATAGTATAATCAAAGTTGGGCATTCGGCTGAGCTTGCAGTCCAAAGTATATTTAGATTGACTGTGTTATTTTACCTAGGGTTAATCCTGGATGGGTTAGGTGTGCAGGATGTAAGCAGAAGGAATAACGATAGGCCTCAAAGCATGGCACTAACTTGGTCACAGGCTGGGTGAGAGTTTGATGTGAAAAGGCAAACTTTTAACCGCATTTTCCCAAGGAATCTCTCGCACGGTTGCTTGTTTTAGTTAGCGTGATGTTCTAGAGGCCCAGCGATGCCATTGATCGGTCCTGTTAAGGTCCTAATTGCATCCTGTCCTACGGATGGACCATATTTTGTTGTCCTCGATGGGTACATCGGCCACCGTGAATAGGGATTTGGGGGACACCGAACGCAAAAGTTCCATTCAGGCCCCGACTTCCAGTTCGTATGGGTGGATGGTTGACCTTCTCTGACCTCTGGAGTTGTCAGGCCAGGCTCTGAGTGTTTTCTGTTCATCAGTAGATGTCGTCATAACCACTGCCTAACCATCCACAGATGAGGGAACTGAGGGTCCTGCCATCTGCGAGTCAGTATGGAGCTTCCCTCTGCTATCCTACTCCTCCAGAGTTACTCCATATTTGAAATAAAGCTTGGTATATTTAAGTCAACCGAGAGTTTCCATGGTGAAATGGGAGGCACTGTCCTTCATTCTGTCACGGGTAGGGACGACACCACTCAATTACTTTATTCAGTCAACTGATTATTCTATTGTGGGCAACACAAAGGCCCTTCTCTGTTCATTCCCTGGCTGGCTGAGAAAGTAGCTGGAGGAAGCGCTCAGAAGGAGGAGCACCAGCAGTGTGAGGCAGAGTTCAGCAGGCACAAGTGTCAGGTGGATGCGACCCAGTAGGTGTGGAAAGCCTGGCCAAGGGGAGAGGCTGCGCCAGCTGCCATGGCTGGCCACCTTGGTCACCAGGGCCATGCTGGTTGTGGAGTAAGGGAGACTAAGGCGTTGCAAGGTGCCTTCCCATCCTCCCTGCCACTGGGCCACTTCCCCCTCTGTGATGACTTGCATTTCCCACTGGCTTGACCTTGGCTGGCAGGAAAACAGCTTCTTCCTTTCACTTCTCAGGCCATCATCCAACCTAGGACCCCGATCGGACTCTGCTTCCTAGGCATACCCTCTGCATCCCTGACACTGAACAGAGCCACTGCGGTTCTGGTGGACAGATGAGGAAATGTAAGTCTCAGAGAAGTGGGTACCAAGCTGGGGGCCACTACTGTCATCTGTCTTCTCCCAGCCTTCCCAGGAGAGGAAGTGACTTGCTCAGGACATCAGCTGCAAGGAACAGGAGGAGCCTGCTGACAGCCTCGGGATCATAGAGTGACCGGGACAGGTCAACTAAGGAGCCATCTTAATGACATGCCCGATCAACGAAGGCCGCCAGCAGTGCCCCACCCCAATTCTGTGAGAAGCTGCTCACAGTTACAGGCCCCTCCCCTTCCCGATGTAGTGGGGGTGGGAGTGGTCTTAGGGAAAGCAGGGCTCTCAGGTTGGAGACCTCTAGAGCAACATAGGGATGATGCGATGCTGGGCAGCCTCCTGGAGGCTCGGG